GGCAACAGAGTGAGACTCTGTCTCAAAAAAAAAAAAAAAGAGCAAAACACTGGAATTCACCTAAGTTGTCCCCCAAGAGTGGAACACAACAATGACAACAGGAAATGGCCAGGGCCTGTCAGTAAGAACAGCAGCGACAAGTGTATTCAGTGTGACTCTACCTTCGTAGGCATACACATCTAGGAAGTACACACTGAAATGATGGCACTATTTCCGGGAACTGTGGGCACTTTTTTTTTAAAAAGCATATGAAAACTCAACCAGTAAAAAAAAAAAAATTTAAAAGTCACAAAGATCATGTGGGATCAAGAATCGTCACCAGGGGGCGCTATGGCGCCTGCTGCCTCCCCCAGGAGTGGGGAAGCCCACCCACCTGTCCGTTGACGGGCTCGATCTGCTGCAGGGTGGCCAGCACGAACACCGCCGTCTTGCCCATCCCGGACTTGGCCTGGCACAGGACGTCCATGCCCAGGATGGCCTGGGGAATGCACTCGTGCTGAACTGGAGAAGAAAGAGAGCGTGAGGGACCAGGAACCAAATGCACCCTCTGTGGGGGCTCCTCCCCAGATGGCTGGGGGACCACAGTGAGGGCAGTCAGAACAGGCCAAGTCCAGGGTAGGGCCGCCAACACCTGGGCTAGGGTGTCTGCCTGGTCAAAGTCCAGTGCCATGCCACCATGGGCAGCCACAGGCCCCCAGTGGCTGGGCAGGCACCTCCCTCACCCAGGGCAAACCAAAGGCAGAGCCGCTCTGGACAGCCACGGCTGGTCTTGGTGAGAGGACGTGGGCAGGGGTGACACCAGCGAGGCGTACCCTCAGATGGATGCTCAAAGCCACAGTCCACGATGGCCCTCAGGAGCTCCGGCTTCAACAGAAAGTCCCGGAAGCCAGAGCTGTGGATGGAAACGTAGGATCCCTTGACATCTTTCTTAGGGGGAGCTGGAGTGCTCTCTGGAGGAGCCTGGGGCTCTTCATCTTCCTCGTAATCCAGAAGCTCATTTTCCACGTCCTGTTCTGCCATGGTGCTGAGGAGAGAGGAGAGAGAGGCCCTGCGAGCAATTGCAGGAAGCCGATGAAGCTACGACTGCGTGGTGTTCTGGTCTCTTCCCCACGGCTGGGCCATCGGCTCCTCCTTTGCGACACCCCAGGCTTCGGCCCACTGCCTCCACATCTCCCCACCCTCCTCCAAGCCCACCCACCTCTCCCACACCCCACCAGCCACACCCAACATCTTCCACCTCCAAGGGCTTCCCGTGCGCTCAACTCACCGCAGCCCTCAGCCCAGCTTGGCCCCTGCCCACCTCAGCCCACACCACCCAAGCCTTGCTCGGCTGCACAGACTCCTGGAGCCCCACCCCAAGCATGTGAACCCCACGCCACTGTCCGGAATGCTCTGCTCCCAGGTCTTTGCACAAATGCCTCCTGCTCAACACGCAAGTCTCAGCTCTAACGAACCTGCTTACACCACTGAGCCCAAAGAAGTCCCCTCCCCATCACTCCCCAAAGACCCCACTGGGCCTGCATGGGACAGGAAGCCCAGAGACTTGGAGGTGTGGTACCAGGATCCTGGAGAGAACTGAGTTTGTGAGGAGCAAGCAGCTGTCTGCCCAGCCCGGCTTCTCCTGCTATCTGTGGTCTGCACAGGGGAATAATTAAGTGCTCTCATGAAAAGCCTCCCATTGGGCCCAGGCCAATAAAAATAAAGCTGGGATGGTGAGTGGAATTAATACAAAGCTCACTCACCTTCTTGCTTTATTTAATGCAATGCGTACCAAGTGCCTGCTGGGTGCAAGAGCCTCAAATGTGAGGACACTTGTCTTTTGTCCTCCCTCCGGACCACAGCCTCTGGTCTAGGGGGCAGACGGGCTAAAGCTGTCCTCTTCTTCCTGAGGTTGGAGCCTGAGGGTCCTGGGCCCATTTTCTGACCCATTATCTCTGTGACTTCGTCCAGGCCCAGGGCTTTAACCACTTCTATGCTGCTACCTCCCAAAAGTTGGGTCTCCAGTGGCAATCTCGCCCCTCAATTCAAGACCCAGTTACCAGCTACCTCCTCCAACATCCTTGGGGGACCTTGGAAGATGAACTCGAAATGCCTGCTTCCCATACCACAGAAACAGCAATTCCACTCTGATCTCTCAGTGGCTCTGTATGTTCCCTCCTCAACATCCCTGCCCAACCGGCCAGTGAATCCCACAGTCCCTCTGGCTACTTCTTGCCCATGCCATGCTGGCCCCAAGCTGCCATCGCCTCTCTTTTTTTTAAAAACTAGCACAGCTTTACTGATATTCACATGCTACACAACTCACCACTTAAAGCATACGATTCAGTGGATTTTTATAGTCACAGACATGTACAACCATTACCACAGTTAATTTGAGAATATTTCATCTCCTCAAAATAAGAAAGAGCCAATGTGCCTTTTACCTATCACCTCCCATCCCCCACCACCTTGGCAAGCTATACCCTATTTTCTGTCTCTATGGATTTGCCTATAGAAAATCCTGGGTGTTTCAAAGTAAATAAGGAAAGAAAGGAAAGAAAAAAAAAGGAAAGACAGACAGAAAATCAATCCTGGACATTTCACATAAATGAGACCTTACAGTATGTGGCTTTTTGTGTCTGGCTTCTTTCACTCCGCATCATGTTTTCGGGTTTTTTTTTTTAGACTGAGTCTTGCTTTGTCACCCTGGCCAGAGTGCAGTGGCATCCTCATAGCTCACTGCAACCTCAAACTCTTGGGCTCAAGCAATCCTCCTTCCTCAGCCTCCCAAGTAGCTGAGACTATAGGCACACATGCCACCACACCTGGCTAATTTTTCTATTTTTTTTAATTTTTATTTCAGGATATTATGAAGGTACAAACATTTTGGTTACATTTTATGTCTTTGCCTCACCCAAGCAAGGATTAGAGGTAATTTTTCTATTTTTTGTAGAGATGGGGGTCTCACTCATGCTCAGGTCTTGAACTCCTGACCTTAAGCAATGTTCCTGCCTTGGCCTCCCACAGTGCTAGGATTACAGGCGTGAGCCACCGCGCCCGGCCTGTTTTCGAGGTTCATCCACGTCATAGCACATGTCAGGACTTCACTCCTTTTATGCTCACCCAGCATTCCACCTTAGGAGTATACCTCATTTTGTTTATCAGTAGGACATTTGGGCACCATCATCCCTTGCCTGGATTAAGCCAATAGCCTCCTCATTGGTCTCCCTGTTACCATGTCCTGCCCCTCTCCCACAGCAGCCACAGGGAGCCTATAGAAGCTAAGTCAGAGCATGTCACTGCTCTGCTCAAAACTCTCCATGGACTCCCACTGTGCTCAGAATAAAACTCTTCTGAGGGTCCCCACTATGGCCTGCCAAGTCCTTCTGGACCTGACCCATGCTCAGACCGCATCTTCTCCACCACCCCTCACTCACTGGCCTTGCTGTTGCATCTCAACCACCACTTGTCACCTTTGCACTGCCTGGAACGGTCACAACGCCCCCCACTTCTTCTGGGCCTCCTTTGCTCCAGAAGGGCATTTTCCTACA